AGGTTGTACATGTACCATCAACAGGTTGGAAACATAATTGCTGTGCACCAACTTACATCAAATTCATCTTCATTACCAGGATCAAAGGATGGTGATGTGAGAGATCCATCATTGAGTTCTTCAGTAGTTTGTTGACCTTCCTCACCATATATAACCAGATAAACCATAGCTTTTGTACCAGCACCATCTTCATTGGAAGTCTTCACTTTTATCTTCCATTCACGCTCTGAAAATAATTGTACTCAATATAGATAGTATTCTTTGATAATACACTTAAAATCATGATTCATCATATCTGAGGATATGGTTGCACACAAAGTGACATCAAAGAAAGCTTAGAAAGAACTCCTGTGTGCTGAAGGTATTGCAGGCATGAAGTACAAATAATATTAAAAACACATCTTCAATACACATAAAGCAAGATCATTGAAATATGTCTTATTTTGACCATAGACCAATGTTTGTCATTTATATTCACAGTAAGCAGATCTGCTTATAATAGAGCAAATACAGCATTTAGAAATATAGCTTCAAGCAATAATTATGGTGGTTCCAAGTAGCTATGGTTTAACAATTATAAATAATGACCATACGTGTATAGGATGACTTGATATTTTGGTCATATATCTTGTCAGACAACACAATTATAATAATAATAATAATAACTAAGAGTTTGTATAGTGCCTAATATCCATCATGATGATGCCCAATGACACTCAGTTCACAGAAATGCTCTCTGAAACATACAAGTTTTGAGTTTAGATTTGAAAATGTTTAAACTAGCTTCATAAGGAATGTCTGTTGGTAACTAATTCCTTAATGATGGAGAAGCTTGTGAAAATGAGCGATTGCCATATGTCTTGAGTCTGGTTCTGGGCACTGTAAGTGTAGATGTATTACTTGAACAAAGAGTTCTACCAGGTTGACAGAGTTGAATCAGGTCTGATATGTAGGTGTTAATCCATGAAGTGCCTTGTATGTGAGTAGTAGGATCTTGAATTGAATTCTGTAAATAACTGGGAGCCAATGTAATTGATGTAGAACAGGGGTAATAGGGTTGAACTTATTTGAACGTGTGATGAGACGAGCAGCACAATTCTGTGCCCTTTGAAGTAGATGTATTTATGTGT